AAATTATCCTATTAGAGAAGAAAATCACTGGCTTACAGAAACACCACATTTCTCTGAATTCACAAAGTCAGGACAGACTAGTGATTAATCTTTATTTGCCTATAAATATAAAATCTAACTTCTAAATGATAAAATTGGAAAAAAATTATAAAATTCATTATTTCCAATCTCAGTCAATCAATTCTATTTTTGAATAAAGTTACTGTCTACTTTTAAGGTAGTGAAATATATTTTCCTAGTGACATAAAAAAAATACTTACAGGAGCCAGCAAATGTCAGGGTGGCTAGGGACACTGGACTCCCATATGGCTGACTGCAGTTTGAGTCCTGCACCTGGGGGCTTGCTTTATCGCTTTCCCTCTCTTTCTTTCTCAGGCTCTGTCTTATTCACACATCTCACTCTCTTTCTCTCTCTCTCAGGCTATGTCCCTCTCTAGTGAAATAAATAAATAAAGTTAAATAAAATAATTATTAAAAAAAAAATAGAAAAACTACCTCTGTACCACAAACTCAGTAACCTAACTCAGAAACCTGAGCAATCGTGAAAAAATTACTAACCAAGGACAAACTCTCATTAGGGTTAGAACCAACCATATTTAGGAAATACTCCTACTATTTAAAATTCTAGTGCACGTACTGATTAGTGAAGTCTAGAAAAGTCCTATATGCACCAGCAGAAGTTAAGTTTAGACAAAGTAAGAAAAATACCTCAGAAAGAGATCAAAGTGCTTCAGTAAAGCCTTGAGATGCTTTGCAGAAAAGGACATATTTCCAAGGATTTCCGGAAGTTTCACTGCATTAAAACAAAGGAAAAACAATTTTCAATCATTAAAATATGATAGTACACAGGGTACATTCAAGAATCATCTGGCTCTATATTATTCTTATTGTAGTCTAAATTAATACCCATAGTATTAAAAACTCTAACTGAAAAAAGTTGAAACCAGTTGGGACAGGGCTTTAGGGTGAGTCCATGCTCAGGATCTGAGAGTCACTTTGGAACTTTTGAACTCCATCACCCACTATCCCAGTGGTCTACGCTAACCCTGCCAGCCCAATGGGAGTCTGGAGTGCAATCTGGGCAGGCCTTGGGTGAGTCAGTGCTGTTGGCCTGAGAGCCTCCATCCACCAACATCCTAGCAGCTGGTACTTGCCCACCCACCCTGTTCTTCCTGGAGTCTTGAGCTGGGTCTGGGCCAACCTTAGAGTGAGTTGGTGCGTGGGACCTGGGAGCCACATAGGTCCTTTTGGACTCCATCACCCACTGTCCCGGTGGCATGGGCTCGCCCCGCCTGCCTACCTGCCAGAAGTGTTGACCCGATCTGGGTGGACCTTAAGGTGAGTCCATGCTCAGGGCCTTAGAGATGCTTTTGAAATTTGGTACCCCAACCAGCATGCAGAACTGGATCATCTTCACCAAGTTATAGTTCCTTAGCTTGCTACCACCTCATCCAGAACTGAACATTTGCTAGAGGAGCCAAGTACCTGAAGTTACCCATAATTGCTTTGACCTGGGAGACACAGCCCTCCAATAGGAACACACCTGGGAACTAAAGGTGAAGTTTTCTGCAGCAGTACTAAAGAATATACTCCAATAAACTGAAAAAAAGTGAATAGTGCATCAGATGACTAGACATCAGTACACACCTTGAAGAAAGATGAGGAAACTAGGTGATAGCTCCTTGATAGGTGAGGGTAGTAGCCCCTCACCAACAGTGGACAGCACATAAAGAAATGCACAAAAATGTCACAAGAAGAATATAGTGACAAAACTCAATGAGATGCAAGAGAAAACAGATAACCAGTTTCAGGAAATGAGAAAATCATTTCAGTACATGGAAGTGTTATTTCATAGAGAAACAGACACCCTAAAAAGAGAATCAGTCAAAACATCTGGCCGAATTATTCTGATTGTAATTGAAATTAACACAGTACTAAACAAAATTAAAAACTGTAACAAAAAGCACAATGCAAGAAATTAAAATCTCCCTTCAAAGCATTAACACCAAATTGGACTGTGCAGAAGAATGAACTTCTGACTTCGAAGACAAAGTCTCCAGCACAGACCAAATCACTGAAAAGAAGTGGGGGGTGGGGGGGACAAACCACACAACTAAAACAAACACAAAATTCTAGACACCGTGAAATGTCCAAATATCCATAAAATGGGTATTCAAGGAGGTGAATCTGCTAACGATATCAAAAAATCTCTTTCAGGAGATGCTATATGAATACTTCCCAAATATTGAGAAAGATGGCAAAATTAACATCCAAAACATAAAAATGACTCCAAATAGAATCAACACGAAAAGATGCTACTTCTGACCCATCATAGCCAGATTGGTAAAAATTAAAGACAGAGACAACTTTCTAAAAATGACAAGGGAGAAACGTCAAGTTACGGATAAAGGTTATCCCGTTAGGCTACTGTCAGACCTCTCAACTGAAATAATGCAGGTAAGGAAAGAACAGGATGATGTGTTCAAAATTTAACATTTAAAGGTAACTATAGCGTCAAGTTTGAAATGAACTACAGAAGGAGTCCTCAAAAATTCACTAACACATGGAAACTAAAAAACTGCTACTAAACAAATTTACACTATATAGAAATTAAGACGGAAATCAAAAAGTTCAAAGAAAACTCTGAGACACTAAAAGAATAAATTGAAGAAGACAAAAAAGTGGAAAGACAACCCACATTCCGGGATTGGGAGAATTAATATGATCAAAATAGCAATTCTATCCAAATTATTCTACAAATTTAATGCAATACCAATCAGTGTATCAGAGACATTCCTCACAGATCTAGAAAAGACAATTATAGAATGTACCTGGAATCATACAAGACCCCATACTGCCAAAGCAATCCTGCATAGAGTGAAGTATAAGGCACCCTTACCCCAAAATATATTACAAAGCTGTGATCCTCAAAACAGCATGTTATTGGCACAAAACAGACATGTGGGCCAATGAAACAGATAGAGACCCCAGAAATAAACAGCAAAATGCCCAAGACCTCAAACTATAAAGCTACGGATAGAAAATACTGGAGACACTTGGGCAAACATTGGAGTAGGCAAAAACTTCTTAAAAAAGGTCACCAAAGCACATGCAATAATCCCCAAAATAGATAAGTCAGAGTACATCATATTAAAAAGTTTCTGTACAGCAAAGGACACAGTAAGTGTGAATCGACAACTCACAGAATGGGAAACTGTTTGTGTAAACTATGCTCCAGATAAAGGACTGATAACCAGAATACACAGAGAAGTCAAGCGGCTTAACCATCACCACCACCTTCCCCACTACCCCCCAAAAATCAACCCAATTAAAAGATAGGAAAATGAGCTGAACAGACAACTCTAAGGAAGACATAGTAACAGTGAAAAGGTGTATGAAAAAAGTTCTCAACATCCCTCATCATAAGAAATATACAGATTAAAACCACAATGAGATTACCACCTAAGACCAGTAACAATGACTAAGAATGAAAAAAAAAAGTAGTGTTGGCAGGATATGGTGATAGGAGAATTGTCCTACACTACTGGTTGAAATATAAATTGGTCCAGTCACTGTAGAGAACAATATGGATATTCCTCAAAGATCTACAAACAGACCATATGATCCAGCAATCCCACACCTGGGTGTCTACCCAATGGACAGGAGAATACTTAGCAGAAAACTGCTTGCACATCTATGTTTATTGCGGCATTATTCGCAATTGCCAAGACATGGAATCAAACCAAATGTCCACAAACAGAAGAACAGATTGAAACATTACGGCACATGCACTCTATGGAATACTACATGGCCATATAAAACAACAAGACCCTGGCTTTTGACAGAAAGTGGATGAATATGGAGGACTTACTACTGACTAAAGCAAGTCAGGCTATGAAGGAGAGACATTTATGTGTCCATTTAATATATACTATCCGCCCTATGTGGCTGAAACAGAAAGATCCGAACATATAAAAACATGGAAATAGGTATAGTTTTGTAATGCAGTGTGTGAAAGAGGTGGGAGGAGGAGAGTGTGAGGAGGGACATTACGGAGAAAATTAGAGAGGCAAGACATTTATGGGAAACAGAAATGGATTATTATCGGTTGATGATAACATGTATTGTATCCCTGACTGGACTGGTGTCAAATGTATTCACGCTGGAAAATTAACTTTCCAAATTAATTGATACATAGGGGCTGAATGTGTAAGAGAACTTAAAAGAAAAAGAAAACGAGTTATAAAAAACTATTCAGAGAAACTATGATAATGATCAAACAAATGTTTTTAACCTACCGGACAGAGCAATAGCAGTCATAGCAGGGAAGTTCATAGCAATTAATGCTCACGAGGAAAAAAAGGAAAGGTAGCAAATTACCTAACGACCCAACTCAGAGAACTGGGAAAACTAACAAACACATTCCAGGAGGAAAAAAATAATCTGAGCAGAAATAAATTATATAGAGTAGAAAAGAACTACACAGAAAATAAATGAAACCAAAAGCTGGTTCTTTGAGAAGATAAACAAAACTGACACACAGTGAGGATAATTGAGAAGAACAGAGAAAGGAACCAAATACATCAAATCAGCAAAGAAACAGGAGTTGTTACAACAGATATAACAGAAATACAAAATAGGATGAGAGTACTATTTTACCAACAAACAAGATCTAGAGGAGATGGACAAATTTTTGGACATGTAAAACTCACCTAGACTGACCAAGAATAAAATAGGAAATCTGAATAGAACCATAACAAGCAATGAGATTGCATCAGTAATAAATAGTCTCCAAACAAGGAAGAGCCCAGGTCCTAAGGCTTTACCTCTGAATTCTGAAAAACCTTTGAAGAACTAACTCCAACCCTCCTTAAAGTATTTTTAAAAAATCGCAAGGAAATAATCTCCCAGAATTCATTCTATGAAGCCTCCAATAGCTTAATTCCAAAACCAGACAAGGACATGACAGAAAAAAAGGAAAAAAAAAAGAGAGAGAGAGAGAGAGAGAGAGAGAGAGAGAGAGAGAACTGCAGGCCCATGTCCCTCATGAATATGGATGAAAAAATTCTCAATGAGCTATTAGCAAATCAAACTCAACCACATATTATAATAATTATAATCATGACCAAGTACGCTTTATTCCAAAAATGCAAGGATGGTTCAATATATGCAAAACAATAAATGTAATGCATCACATTAACAAAAGGAAAGATGATGAGGACCACCATATGTCATAATGGCACAATGGTTCCTAGACTCCCTCACAGTTGACTATGGTTTGCATCCCTAATCCAGTGCCTTAAACTCATGACTGATGTGCCCAAAATCCTGAAAGGAGAATGGAGGAGAAGGAATTGTGGCATGGCCTTCCCAGCTGAGGGATGATTTCTTATTTTCTGTCTCTTGTCTCTCTCTGTCTCTCTAGTGAGTGCACATGTCCTATAGCAAAAATGTCTAAAAAAAAAAAAATCGATGCAAAAAAAGTATTCAATAAAATACAACATCCCTTCAAAATTTTTTATGACTAAGGACTCTCAGAAAAATCAGTATAGAAGGGATATCCCTCAACACAATAAATGCCATCTATGAAAAACTCAGCTAACATCATACTGAATGGGGAAAGCTGAAAGCTTTTCTACTTGAAACTGAAACAAAATAAGGTTTCCTACTTTCTCCATTCCTTTTTAACACAGTATTCTAGCCAATGCATTTAAACAAGAGTCAAAATTAAAGCATCAAAATAGGAAAAGAAGTGAAATGATCTCTATTTTCAGATGATAGAATGTTATACAT